ACACTCGGTCGCAATTATTTTTCACCCGAGTTATCCAAATAATTCTGCTGTACGATTTGCCGGTGCTCGTTAAAACTTTCCACGATATCCGAACCATCGAATAATAGTTTCTCTAATAGCGTCGTTTCTCTTGTTTCTAGTCGAATTCAGAGTGGCGAGTGAATCTCCGTAGCAAGGTTCATCGATTACCAAAGCGTATAACCGCGATCGGTTGGCGATCGTCGAACCAGTAGCAAACTACAACCAGCCCCTAAACACTGCTCTATCCAATACATCCGTCCAATTTTGCGTATCCGTCCGACTTTGTCGCGTTTATGCGTCGATACGATCGTCGTTGACGCGTATCTCTAAAAGAACAAACGATTAAAAATACGGAAACACGTAACTCGGAGAAATTGTTAGGTCCGAAAAGGTAAGGAAAATTCAAAGGATAAACTATAGTATCCGGAGTGGAGAATTTCTCAGCCTTTTGCCGTTTGTCCTCGTATCTTCTCGCGGGTATTTTAGGAGTTTTATACCTAAACTCTGTGTACGATCTTAGCCATAGCGTACGATAAGGTATATATATACCTCGATTCTAGCAATGACCTTCGACACAGCGCGAATTACGTTCGTACTCGTATAGCGATACGAGCGATACGCGTCGTCGTCTCATTCGATGCAATAGCGATGCGTAGAATCGTAAGCGATGATAAACGGTTAGCAGAGCAGCGAAGGAAGTTTCCAACGGGTTACTTCGAACGCTTCGTAGCGGCAAACCCAATATATCGAATATATAAAATAGCGCGCGTTACTACACGACACGCGTTATAACTGCTATATCGTATCGCAAACTCGCATATCGCTCAGCCGTTTTCCGACGCATAACGATAATAGACCATGTTTAAAGAAACGTACGCATGATGACTGGATCGTCGGTGAAGATGCGCGCAACGAGCAGCAGACGACAAGGCAGGCACGCAAACCGATCTCGACCTGTTCCTCTGGATCGTCCGAGAAGCAGGCAACGTCTCTTCGTCGCTGTCGCTTTCCGTCACCGAACTCTCCCTTCCCCCTTTGCTTCGCTTGCTCGAGAAATTCTTCTTCTCTATGCCGACGGTCGTCGACGAGGTCGAGTTCACCGACAACGAGACTGCCGACACGTTCGTCGACGAGCCGCTCGTCAACGAGACTCCTCGCAAACGAGACACCAGCTTTATGTCCAAGCACAACATCTTTCCACTCTCTCTTCTCTTTCCTCTTTAATTTCCCCCTTTAAATAGTTTTCCCGCCATCTTTACCGATGCACAGTTTCCGTTTCCTCGATCTCGTAATTGCTCGAAACAGCACCTTTCTTCTACTCGAAATGTTCACCTTTAATCCGATCCGGTAAAAAACGTCCGTCTTATTATACGCGAGATATCAACGTGTACAGCGTCATTTTCCTACCAAAGCCACAGCAACGACAGAAAAACTTTGCACACTGCAACCTTCCGATAATATGTCGATACCGTGTAGCTTCCCCCGTAGCTCTGTTACGTTCTTTGCCTCTTTCAAATCGATCGCTGTATCAGATACGTTACAAACGATTACTATGTTCAACGACGAACAATACCAACTTAACCACCGATTTACGCTAAGAAGATCGTAGATTTTCCATTTGCAAAGGAAAAAGAACGTTTGTTAATTTCTGAATTCTAGTTTCTTCTTTGCTTCGTCTCGTTTACTAAAATCAGCCAGTCAAGATATTATCTTCGTATCGATGTCGTAGAATGTAAATACTTTTTGTAAGAGCGAGCAAAATATCGAGCAGAGGGCAAAAGAGGGATAAACGAATACATTGTTCGGAGATGTCGAATCGATCCGATTCGAGGATCGTTTCCGAAATTTCATTATTTAATTAGAAAGAAAGAGAAGGTCGACCGATAACCAGATTCGAATTCCCTCGCCTCGAATCCGTATTTCCAGAAACAGAGTCGGAATTCTGTCAACATCTTACCACGGCCAGTATTCCGTTCGCATAATTATAATAATTTCTCGGTTCATCCTCATTAAGAGCTACAACGAATTCCAATACTTGGCCAGCGTAACTGTAGCCACCAACTGTTGCAGCGGCTACGAAAAGTATTTGTACGTCCTTCTAAGTATTACAGCATTTACTATTTTATTACTATTTAATTGCGCTCGAATACACAAAGTTTCGTATCTTTACTCGTTTAGTCGTATGTATTTTCATACGACAGCGAGAAATTTATTTTCCAAAAACGAATTCGAACGCTACAAAGCGAGCGTTAGCGAGTTTTACATTTCATTCCGATTTACACGTAGATGCTGAATTTTGTATATACGTAGCTCGAAAATCGCTCGAGGGCGAAAGATGCGACAATTCCGAACAAAAGTAGCAAAGTAACGATTAATGTAACAAGAAATCTGGATAACAGTCTAAACTACAGCCTTAAACAGTATATAGTACTATAAACAGGATATAGTATATAACGAACTTGATACCATCGCTAGTTATCCGTTGAAAGCTTCGAGGTTCGTAGCATTGGTGCCAAGTTGCGTGATTTATTACCATCGATAAACCACCTTTTTTAAACATGCTGGCTGTCGGACGCGCGCGGACATCGATATCATTGACCGAGTTTCCCTGTTCCGCAGGTCTCTAACCCTTTTGAAGATCGTGGCTACATAATGGAAAAGAGTACCGACGACACTGACCGAGTCCCTTTGCCTTTGCTTTCCTCTCACTTTTTGCTTAACCAGATCTTTCACGTTGAACGAAGCGGCAGTCGATAGGTTGATTTTAATAATCAGACTTCTCTTCCTCTCTCTCTCTCTCTCTCTCTCCCTTTCACTCAGCTTTGGCACGTTGAAGCTCGGTTATCGCGCCTGGATTGTAAGCGCCCTCCTCCTCCTCCTCCTCCTCCTC